TGTGTTTTCAACGTCGTGTGTGTGTGGTGGGGGGTTGAAATGCTTTTTTTTTTTTTTTTTTTTTTTTTTTTTTTTTTWCCTCTCGGGCTGCTCCATCTWTTGGTGGGAATTTGAAATGCTTATGGAGACGATCAATCTATCAGTAAAAGAAGTAGCAAAAGCAAGGAGCAGACAGTACAAGAGGGTAGAGGGAAGGAAGAGTACAAGAGGGTAGGGGGAAAAGGGTAGGGGGAAAAGAGGTAAAATGATGAGTTTTTTTTTTTTTTTTTTTTAATGACGAGTTTTTCTGAAGGTAGGAGGAGGAAATGATGAGTGTTTGTGGGGGGAGTAGGTGGGGGAGGTAATGGAATAATGAGGTTTTTGTTGTTGTTTTTTTTGAAATAATGAGTTTTTTTTTGGAATAATGAGTTTTTTTTTTTTTTTTTTTTTTCAATGGTGGATTCTCATGGCTGGAGCGAGTAAGTAGAAATAGATAACGAAAAAATAAAACGAGATGATGACGGAGTAAATGCAGTGTGAAAAAAAAAAGACGATGACGAGGCAAATATAGGCCCCCATGAACTGTTCCATGTTTTGTTTGAAAAAAAAACAAAACACAGGCCCTCGCATACTCGACAGAGGTTCGTCTACCAGAAATAATAAGTGACAATTTTTTATGTTTTCTTATTTTTATTTTTTTAAACAGTAAGTCACAATATGTTTCTATGGGAATATGCCTAAGCCTAAGCTGGGTAGTGGTCCCAGTATTTGTTTTCTCCGGGACCAAGTCCCACTTATCCAAGTGATCGATTTCGGACCGAAGATTTGGAAGATCAACGACCAGAAATCAAAGATCAGCGTAAGTGGGACTTGGCCCCGGGTTGTTCGAGGAGGATTCCTGGCCTCCTTTCTCTTTTGGTTGTAATAAAGTGCTTTCTGTTTCACCAGTATCTTTGCCGCTTGGAAAATAGTGGGACTCGGGTAGGCATCCGACCTTTGCAGCGGCCGAAACGAAACGACGGCCGCCGATCAGATTTATCAACGGTAGTCGTCGTCGGGCCTGACCTCCGAAAATTCAGGCGCTTGGGAAAACTGCCAGTTTTCCCTATTTTACCACGCGGGAAAGGTACTGGTGTTAGGGTTAGGGCCCAGTGCCCAAGGCACTGAACACAAGGTACAAAGAGTTCCAGATTCAGAGGCCGCAAGGTCTCGAATCCTGATCTGTGAGGTGGAGCCCCTCCCCTGTAGCCAAAGGTCTCTGTGAGCCTAAGAGTAAGATGGCCAACCATTGTATGTGAAAAAAAAGAATAAAAAAAAAGAAGGGACAGGACAGGACTGCGGCCAACGTGGAAGCGACTACTTGTTGTTTCCCCCTCCGAACAGAAGGCCCCAGCATCATGACTGAATATGGACGGGAACATGTGTTCTATACGTTGCTAATGTTGGGAGGTTCGGTTCGGGGGAAGAAGGTAGGTCTCATTGAGAGGAAATCGAAATCGGACATAAATCCAATTTGAAAAAAGAGCGTAAAGAAAAGCACGATACCAACGGGGGCCAAGTCCCAGTTACGCTGATCCTTGATTTCTGGTCGTCGATCTTCTGAATCTGTGCTGTGGTCAGACATCGATCATTCTGGTAAATGGGACTTGGCCCTGGGCCTAGCCCAGTTGGTACACCCCTTCAGATACTGTCAGATGAAAAGAATAAGACGGTTCAGTTCAATTATGATCTGGTTTCTTCAAAACATCTTGCATCATATTTCAAATTCTTTTAATTCTCTCACCTCACATATAATTTTTAACTGGCGCTCTACCATGTCATCATGGAGCATATCTTTATGCTGTACCCGATGATGAGAGGGCAGCTTCAAAAAAAATAAAAGAAAATAAGGGTACCCCTGCGAACATAGCTTTGTACATGGTGGTGGAGGATGGGGTGGGGCCACCGGTAGTGGTCGGGCTAACGCAAAGACCGAGCATTTTGCCAGTAGCTGCACCTCCCTTTTCTTCTTCCCCCTCCCCCTCCTCTCCCCCCCCTCCCCCCAACCGAATAACAGCAGTGTCTAAGGGCAACACTCTCCCACACACCTCACACTCACAATGATGATATCTAACGACCGTCACCCTTTATTTTTTTGAAAAGAAAAGAAAAGAAAAGACAAAAAGAGAAAAGAAAAGAAAAGAAAAGACAAAAAAAGAAAAGAAAAGAAAAGAAATTAGGTGCCTTGTCTGCGCGGGCGGGGGCCGTACTCGCGCTATCTTCCCCCTAACGTATCGTCTCGTCCGTCGTACCCCGGGCCGAGGTCCCACTAGCAATAGCGAAAAGGATAGGATCGAGCTCCTGAATCTGGATGTGTTTTAAGCAGAGATGCAGAGATGCTGAAAAGCAGTTTAATCTCGATTTCCTGCACATCTCTATAAAATCGTCCAGATTCAGGCATTCTATCTGATCCTCTTTGTTAGTGGGACCACGCCCCCGAATCCAACCCAGTGTCAGCTTGACGGGGTGAAGACGATGAATTTGCTCTAGGGCCTCGCTCCACTACTCACCAAATGTTCGAATTGAGAATGAAAGGTACACCGACGTATTGCGTCTTTTGTGCATGGGGGGAGTAGTGGACCGTGGCCCATCATAGGATTCATAGCCATGTTTTACGTTCGGGGACGGAAACGGGAAGAATTTCCTCGACGTACATGGCTGCAAGAGCGGCCAAATTCAGTCTATGCGTTGGATTTAATGTTCTTCACGCAGACATAGCTGTGCTCAAGTGGCCCCTTGATTATTCTAAGGATGTGCTCTGCGTGTACTATGTATGTGCTATGCCTGTCCTATGTATTTGCCATACCTGCCCCTGGGGCGAGGTCCCACTATCAAAGCGGATTTAATGAAGCGCCTGAATCTGAGCTTGTTTTATGCAGGGATGCAGACATGCAGATAATTCCAATGTTCTGCACCTTTCCACAAAGACATCCAAATTCGGGCATGAAATCCAATTTTCTTTGCTACCGTCTTCCCCCCAACATAACGCACCCTAAAAATGAATGTATACGAGTGTTACATTTCCGGCCAGATACAGCCAAAATGAGGGTGCGTTGTGTTCGGGGGAATACAGTAGTGGGATCTCAGCCCTGGCCACTCCAGTTTGAAATTCATATTTGCTACAAATTTGGGATGTTTTCCTTCCCGACTTTTCCTCACCATGGCAGCCACATAATTTTTTAAATAGCAGTATTATTTGTGGGCAGTATTATTTTTTTTATAAATAGCAGGCACATAGGTCTACGCTACTCGAATCCTTTGCCGGCGAAAAGGTCCCGTCCACAGTCCCTCCTGGCGGTCAATAAGGGCCGGCCTCGCTCCACTATAGAGAATGGATTCTAAGCGATCCTGGACCTGTTCGTGCTCTCGATGCATTCAATTTGTCGTGCCGATTCAAATGAATGTGCCCGGAGTACTGTCCAGACGCATGCAGAATGGTGGCTTGTGGTGAGGCCCTAAGCCGGCAGCGGAGCACATGCTCGTATCGATCATCAGGACTCGACCTCGCGCCCGTTTCGTACCATGGTAAAGTGTGGACGATGAGTTTTTTTTTTTTCTTTTTATTTCGTTTATTAAACGGTATAATTTGCAAAAGACCCCCATAATATGTATGAGATATATCCCAAAATGCCCCTAAAAGATGTGGGTAGAGCGGAATACCCCTCCGACTAAAAAAATATTTTGCGAAATGCCCCTCGCGTGGGTTGGACCCCCATCTTTGCAACAAACCCTTACCGGGTACCGTCCAACTTTCAAAAATGCCCCAATACGTGCCAAACTTTTCCTAGGCGCTATTGCAAAAGGCCAAGGCCCAAATAAGGAGGTCCCGATTGCGAAGTTTGACACCCTCCTGACAGGGGCACAACACACAAAGAGTTCGGCCCAAACGGGCATTCCACTCTACCCACATCTTTCAGGGGCAATGTGGCATACATCTCAACTTATGGGGGTAATATTGTAAATTATCCTTTTTAAACTGATCAGAACAGATACGACACTTGATCTTAGCAAAAATGCAGAGAAAGGTATTTCTTTCTTCTTTTGAAGAAAAATTCCATTGCTAAATAGCATTAGGGGGCCGGCAATCCCTCGGATAATCAATCCGGGGCTAGGTCCCACTTGCACGAGTTAAGAGTTTCTGACCGTAGATCGCAAAGATCAACGGCCGAAATCTCCTAATTTGCGCAAGTGGGACCTTGCCCCCGGAAAGTTCTGGGACCGTAAACCAGCTTCGGTTGGCAGGAGGCAGAACCTGTGACTACCTTCTTCCCCCGAACACAACGTACGGTCATTATAGCTGTATCTGGATTGAAAGATGCCTCAAATACAGCTATAATGACCGTACGTTGTATTCCGGGGAAGAAGGTAGGCTTGCCACGTGGCGTCGGGGACGCCATACCTCAGACTTTTTCACGAGTGATTTGACTTGCGTATCTTGTCTCATCGTGCATATGCGTGATATACGTGTGCGACTTCTGTGAGACTTCTCTGGGACTTCTGTGATGAATAACGAAAGGAAAAGCCCGAATGCCAAGCACAGACCACAAAGGAAAGATTGAACATCCGATAGCGAGAAGACTGGCATACGGCCCCTGCGCAAGTATGACACGCATGAATCGAGAAATGCTCCGAAGACAAGATAAAAAGGCGGATAAAAAAGAAATAAGGTATAGAATCAACCAATGATGGCAGTCCGAGGGTGTACGTGATCGAGACGGCGTACTATGTCTCTTATGTATGTTTTCTGTATTTCTATTTGTATTATGTATATGTATTATGTATGTTTTTTGTACTAATTTGTCTTTAATGTATGATTTTTTTTTTATTAATTTGGACAGTTTCTCGATTTATGCGTGTCATCCTTGCGCAGGGGCCATGCTAATCTACTCTGTATCGTTCCAATTTTAACGGATGTCCCAAAGGACTCTATGTATGTTTTATGTATGGCTGTGTGTGCGTATCTGTGTGTGTATCTTGTGCAG